ATTAAAATTATAAATTTTAATATAGAGAGAAAATTTCAATTTTCACTATATTTTATTAGTAAATTTAGCCTCTGAGTTATTACTTTTGATTGTTACTGTAAATATTATATATAATAATATTATTACTAAATTTAAATAAAAATTATTAATTAATTAAATTTCAATTTATTTTATATTTCAAAATATTATATTTTTAAATTTATTATAAATTCTATTTAAATAATATTTTATATTTAATCTTTAAGCTTTATTTAATATTTATAAGTAAAATTATTAGATTATATTATAATAAATTTAATAATTAGTTTATAAATCATTATTATATTATATATCTTATTATATATAACTTGTTATATTATAATTATTTCACTTTTATCATTATTATCTGAATTTTTTATGTAAATTTCTTGATAATTTATATTATATAACAGAAAGATTACATATATATATATTAATAAATTAAAATATATATAAAAGATTGAATTTACTTAATAAATAATTTGAATAAATTTTATATATATTAATTTTAAAATATATTAAAAAAAATATATTAATCAATTAATTAATTCAATTACAAGAATAAAAAACTGAAATTATAAATAATTCAAAATTTTATTATATCAAATAATTTTAAAACTTTAAAATTTTTAGCATGAAATTTTAGATATATATATTTACTTGTAAAAATTTTTTAATAAATTTATTACTATATAACTACTTTATAAATAAATAAATTAGATCAAATTTATGCATTATCTAGTAAAATAATCTATGAAATTATTTCCGAAACCATCTTTATTTCCAAAAAATATATTCATTTAACAGAATATTCATTTAGATAACTGTACTCCGAAAATTTAAAAAGGGGACTGATCACATGACTCGCTACGCTTTAGCGTATTCATCATTCAACAACAAATCTCATGATCAGAATGATCTGATCATTCGATAATAGTGAATCGAATGAATAAGAAAATATAGTACTAATATCTCAAAGATTTCTTATTTTTGGGATTTCTTTATTTTCGGTACTTGGGAGATCTTCGGTCAGACTATATGTCATCAGTAAAATGCAACACTGGGAAAAATTATTGGGGATGCAGTTTTACATATAGTCTTAACCCCCCGACTCTAACCCTTAATTCTAACCTTTCTTAAAATCGATCTTTAATTCCGGAATCGACAACACCTGCATTAAGAGGTATCAATCACCCTTGTCAAAAATTTATAATTTATTGATATAACGATAAAATTATTCATGTGTTAAATAAAGTTGTGTGAGTGAATAAAAAGCTTTGTATACCGGCAAGTAAGATATATTTGCGCGCATTTATGTTATGGTTGGTTAAATTTGATTACAGTGGCACATCTAGAGGACTCTTGCCATCCCGAATTTCCGACTTAGTTGGGAATTTACCGAGTCTCAGTAACTCAGCACTATGTGATGCGATAGGATCTTTCGCCATCGAAGCTACGGCGATAATTTTTTCTCCTCCTTTTTTTCGTCAAAAAAAGGTAATAGCGAAAACAAAGATGTAATTATTATGCAATATATATATATATATAAAATAGACAATACGAAAAAAAGACTCGTTTATTGAGTATTTACGAGAATAATAAGCCACGAAAGAAAATTCATCCAAATTCCCATGAAAAATCACATCGTCGAAACTAGCCGCGTATCCTGCGTATCGCAATCCTTTACCGTGTTGAGAGCTCCAAAAGAAGGGAATTTTTTGGTATGGTGTTGGTTCGTTTTTTGCGATTACTGATGCGACAGCGCGTCCGGTGTTTTCGGCGTATGACTATTTAAAATTATATAGTGTTATAGAGGTTGATTTTAAATGAATTCAATTTTTTTGATATAAGGTTAAATTATGATATACCCAATGTTCAATTCGTAATATTTCATTGGTGAGATGATATGGATATCTTGCGATATCACCTACATGATCGAAAAAATTTATATTTCAGTTTTAACAATCATTGAAATGATCATAATGATGATATAATCGTACCTATCGCGTAGATATTGTCAAGCCCTTCCACTTTAAAGTACTCATTTACACGTAAACTGCCATCCCGTTCAAGCGGAAATTCCGGTGAACTTTTCAAGAAATCCTGATTAATGATGGACGGGTCATTGAGTAAAGAAAGTTAGGAATGAATTGGAATGGATGGATTTGATGAAATACCGTGGCAGGAACAACACCTGCTCCAACTACTACAAGATCGGCCGGAATCTTTGTTTCATCTGACAATACAACAGCGCCAACTGTGCTTGAGTCCACAGCTAAAGACAAAGAAAATATAATATAAATCAGCAAACATTATATGTAATGTGAGCATCGAATATTTAGAAAGTCTTACTTGATGATTCAATATTCTTTACAATAGCATTTAAATAAAGTTTAACCCCATTATTCTCGTGGAGTTTTTTTATAGCAGACCCGACTTTTTCACCAAGAATTCTTTCAAAAGGGACCTTTTAGGAACGCCCACAAAAACAACTAAATTATAATTTAGAACAATAAAACCAATAGGTGTTGGATCAATCATTACCTTTTCCATCCCAATCACAGAGACATTGGCTTTCTTGGCTAACATTGAAGCTACTTCCATTCCAATAAACGACGATCCTATGATTACGACATTCTTTTTCTCGTTTACATCTGTTCCCATGGCTAAAAAATATTTTATCATTAGTAAAATCTCCCCTTTTTTTTTCAAAATATCAATATTATAAACATTACCTTGTTTGATTTTTGCATTGTCTGACACAGTGCGAAGGTAGAACACGTTATTTAAGTCAATCCCAGGAACTAACAAAGGTCGTGGCTATGGATGATAATATTTTTAATTTATAAGATATCGCCATCATAATCATAATATTGTCTTTAAATTCCTCATCTCTCATTCCTCATTAAACGAGGAATGATATAGATTATATTTACATCTGCACCGGTAGCAAGGATCAAATGATCAAATGCTACTTTATCGCCATTATCAAAAGTGGCAATTTTTGATTTTGTGTCAACAGCGGTCGCTGCCTAAAAAAGAAAGAGAGCAAATTGAGCAATTTTTAATTTGATGGAGTTAATTTAACGAAAGAAAAAGACAATTAATTACATACTATCCCCAAATGAAAAGAAATCCCAAGATCATTATAAAATGAATCTTTTCGAATAGCCACTTTCTCTGCGGTGAAATCAAGGCCTTTACTAAGTTTGGTTCTATAATTAATTGAAGTAATTGAAGCTCAGGCAAAATAAATAAATTTAGATTGACCATAAATTATTTTTCATGATGAACCTGTCAATAGGTAAGTACGATTCCCGGCTATAAACTAAAATCCGTCCCGTAAAGCCGTCCTAATAACGTGTCCAATGAAAATTAAACCACCCTCATTTCGTTATATGATGTTAGAAAAGAATTTTTAAAACCAAAAACACAAAAATAAAAAATTGTACCTCGCGTAACTTTTCTGCGGCTGCATTACCTGAAGCGCCACCACCAATAATTAGCACAGTATTTGTGTCGGTTGGTGAAATAGCTTTTTTACAAATTGGCGCGCGTTTTCCGGATTTTAATGCTTGATAACAGGAAAAAAAATATTTAGACAAGATTACAAGAGTTCCCATTCCAATAATAAATAATAATAAATACCTTGTTCCTCGGCCTCCACGTAAATATCCTCTCCTTTGATTGTTACCTAAAGGCAGGATATATAAATAATATGACGAGGAAATTTTACAATCAGTGATAAAATTAAAAAATACCTTATATTTGAAGAGATTATCCAATCCTGGAGCATCCTCTAAATTTTTTGATGTACCATGTTCAAAAAATAAATTAGAAATAATCATTCAACCAAAAAGGACTATCGAGTTCCAAAGAACATACCAATATCACCGGTATTAGCATTAAAACAAGCAGCATGCCATGGACTACATTTGTATAAAATATAAATTTCTTTCTCAATCCGCACAAGTTAATAAATGATAACGGATTAATTACCAAACTATACGTCCATCGCTCGATATGACTCCTTTCGCAAGCGGTGCCTTGAAATCAAAAAAAGGATCTGCATGTAATTCAAAATATCTGCGTAGAAAAATGTGTGCATTGCATTCATTTTGATACTGACCCCATAATGCGTGCACTTGTGTGAAGTAGCATTTATTTGACCATTTATTTTTGATAAAAGGACTTTATTACCAGTGTCTCCAAGAGTCACTTCTTTCCTAAGTCAAAGAAAAATTACATCAAACATCAATAGAAAGATCCACAATAGACAATAATAATAATACTAAATAGCATGTACAACAAATAATAATAATAATAATAATAATAATAATAATAATAATAATAATAATAATAATAAATATCCTTTTTGTTTTTATTTATTCATTTATTTATTAAATTTTTATTTATTATATATTCCTTCTTATTTACATTTTTCCCTCGCCAATATCAGGGACTTTTGCAACGAAGTATTCAGACATATTGTTTGATCTTTTTGCGAAATCGTTAATACGTCGGCTGAAGGAAGGAAAAAATGAACAATCTTTTTGCAAAGGTCCTCTATTTATTAGGAAGATAAAGTTTTTCCGAATTGATAAAAGTCTATTGACAAGGAAAAATGGCTTGTGTTGGGAGTTCATGAGATGATGAGCATATCTAGCGATAATCATGCCAAGAAACACACGTCGATCAAATTAGAAAGGTGGAAAGACTGAATATCCAGTTTCTGGGGAAATTTGACGATTTTCGCAAGACTCATTTGTTATTATCGTTATTTTTATTGTACATTTAATTAATTTGTTTTATTGTCAAAACTCAAAAAAGCAAAATAAAGTTCACCTAACGCTAAAACTTTTTTGGATACATCACCGGAAATTATACCTATAATATTCATCATCCCTTTAATTGGTGATAATCGCAAAGTTTTTTGTGAAGTTTTAATAAAGGAATTGGATTTTAGATCAATATGTTGACTAAACATAATTTTTAAATTTAAAATACATATTTGGGAATATATTACATACGTAGAATTAGCCAATAACGATAACCGGTTATGATTGATCCGCGTTATTTAGATACATAGTTTGTTCTTGAAACAATTTCCTATTTGCTATAATACACTATTTTCCTCCATTCGACAAAATGTCCAGCACAGAAGCGAAACTTCGTTCCCTAAAAGTTCCAGAGCTTAAAGACCTACTCACCAAAAAAGGGCTTCCCGTTTCTGGAAAAAAAGAGGACCTAATAAATCGATTATTGGCTTTCGAAGTTGACGAGAAAGTGACAACCATCACCACCACTACTGATAGTAACGATGCTAACAACAACAGTATTGCTAGAAATACCGCTAGCATCAAAGCTCAGAATAATGGTGGCATCAATAGTAATGGTGAGAATATTGCAAGTGGTATTGCTGGCGATAGTGATACGAAAACAGGTGACACGGATTTGTTTGAGAAAGATATTACGAATTCACCTGTTGACCATAATTCTGCACTTGACGCCGATTTTGATTGGGACGACATAAAGTTGACCACGGAGTTAGTATTTTGGTTCGATTAATCAATTCTTTTGTAAATATTACACACACATTTTTGTAACTCGCTTTTTGTTTGTTGATAGCGAGTTCAATGATGCTGCCAAGGATGCCGAACTAGACTCGTTGCACTCTCTCAACTCACCCATAGAAAAAACAAAGACGGACAATCCGCTAAATCTTGCCGATAAGAAGTCAGGCACGGCCTCGGCCAACATCAATACATCATCTACATCGATTTCAGATTCGCAACAGCAGCAACAGGTTTCCACCTCCACGACAGAACCAGAAATAATTGTAAAACCCACGGGATTTAAATGCAAGAAAATTACCTTTAATGCTCCGCCACCACAATCCACTCCGGTCACCACCCAATCTGATAATAATCTAAGCTCTGAATTGGAAAAGCGGAAAAAACGCGCCGAACGATTTGGAGTTAATCTTAGCGAAACTGATAAAAAATTGGAAAGAGCTGTGAAATTTGGTATTCAAGTATCGAGTCCTGTCGATTCTCCTTTAAAAGGTGTGTATTTAATTTTTTATTTGATAATAGAAATCTTTTAAATTGTCGAATAGGAAATAAATGATCAATGATTCTGTTTTTTATATCGATAGCCGAAAGACCAATTCTTCAGAAACAGACCGTAAGTATTTGTTCGACTTATAAATTTATTTTGATAAGATGATACTCGTTACCTATTATTTCACCCCTTTCTCTCTCTCTCTCTCTCTCTCTCTCTCTCTCTCTCTCTCTCTCTCTCTCTCTCCCCCTCTCTCCTCCTCTCCCCCCCTTCTCCCCTCCTCCCGCCCTTCCCCCCCCTCGTCTCTGCACTCCTCACA